ATAGGTTCCTAAGGCATCACTTAGCTAGCCTGACATCGAGATCTGCTACAATAGTCTTCTTAACGAGGTCAAGGATAACAAAGAACGTGATTAAAACGCTAGTTTACTCCGAATTTACTTATGATGAGTTTACCACAGTACCTTATAGATTTAACTGTTTGCATTATGACAGACAGACAGACAGACAGACATCTATATTTATACAGGATAGCCCCTTCAGTGTAGTAAACACTGGTATCAACGGGGGTCCTGTTACCCACCCATCCCACCCCAGGGGAGGACATCCATCACACAGTAATCTCGTGCGTGGGAAATTAACGTCTCCTGCCCCTAACCCTGCAGGAGACGGGACCTCCATTTATTCGTCCCTATCCGAGAAGACTAGAATATCTAACCATTTCTAGATGTTAAAGAAAGGAAGCATATTCTTCTCAGTTAATTTTAAGACCCTGAGTGTTGGTCCGGCCGGTATTGAACTCTCGACCTCCCGTTCAGCAGTCCGGCGCTCTCCCATTTGAGCTAACCAGGCGGCGGACTGGTTAGCTCAATTTTAGTTTTGCATTTCTTGAACGTCAAGAAATGCAAAAAATGACTATTAAAATTGTACAGAAATAATTTGTTGTACACCCTTTATCTAAGCTACTAGAGCTTGCATCGAGTGATTTTGACATTCTGTGACGCAAAAACGTTTCAGCAATTCTAACATTTCTCGTGAAGAATTTTCCAATTAAAGGAGGCCTCTTAATTGGCTGGCATTAACCTAGATCATCTGTCATTTTACTTCGATACAAATGAGGACAAAGCAAGTGCGTAATTCCATACTTCCTCTAAGAACGTTTTGACAGTTTCCTTTTCTGTTAAATCTTCTGGAAGCTTTGCCTCTAAAGACACTTCCCAACGAGTGTGTATTTCTCTGAATTCACCGACTTTCTCTGGCCCTAATGGTCTGGAATATTCCGTCACCTCGTTGAGGTATGCTGTGAGACCATTAAAGAATTCACCTTGACCACGTGAAGCGCATGTGAACTTTTTGGACTTGTAGTGACGAATAAGTCGTACATCTTTCCATAACTCTTCCTGAACTGTAAATGGCTTCTGAAATGAAATGGGTTTGAGAATACGCTGATACTTGGCGTATTTGGTATCCCGGATGTCGTTCTGCGACAAACCATAGCAGGATTCCAACAAGAAACGAACGTCTGTTTCCCTGCCGTCTAAAATGAAGTTGTCATCTGCATGTACGCCATCTTGTGCGACGCCACCGTTGTGTTGGTGCTGGTATGGCCTCTTGACATCCACCATAAACCAGCGTAGATTTGGAAGCTTTACTTCGACAAAGTTGAATTTCTCATCGAACCTGACGCAAAATTCTAACTCTTCATTCAAAATCCAAATCGAAATGTCTACTGAGTAGTTTTCAGTGGGATTTCCATCTTGCTGGAATCCGGACCGATGAAGAAAAGTCTCCACTCTGTCCGGCGAGTGAACACATGTGAACAAGGAGCTTCTCGAAGGATTTCCGCCTTTCCACCTCTTCTTGGTTTCGCTCAATGTCACACTACGTTTTGCCCGTCTCGTTTTTTGCAGAGTGAGTTCTTCTTCTTGATTGACGTAAGTGACTGTTTCTGGAGGACTTCTATCTCCTTTTAAAATACTTGGTTTCAGCTTATTTGTTCGCAACATTGCAATAGTGACGGACTCGCTATCTTCAAGCGAAGTGAGCGGAACATTGAGCATATAGACTCGTCCAAAGTGAACTGCAAATTCACGAGAGCCATGGACCTGACGATCGAAATCTCTTTCAAGTAATCGCAGTTGTTGAAAGAATTTTTCTGTAAAACAGCGGTACGTGTAACTTACGTCGTTCGTGCCGTTTACTAGCGAAGCGATACGCAGGGCCGCTAAGTCGTGTGTCTGATGACAACGCCCATCATATGGTGTCAGAGACACGTAATCATTTTGACTTCGGCTTCCTTCAAACACAAGCAGACTTGCGTCTTCTACAAAACAGCCACTCATGAGCAATACCCTGTCACGTGATACCAGTGTGCTCATCTCTTCCAGCTTCCTCTCCACTGCTCGTATCGCGGGCTCACTTCCTTCTACCTCGAGAACTGAGGAACGTGATCTTGAAAAATTGGGGCGAATAATGACGCTCGTCGCTCCAGTCTTTTGCGCTATTTCTCGAGCTCTAATTTTCCCAACGCCCGCCATGTACGAGGAAAGGAGCGGCGAAAGAAAAATTACGCTGTAATCTTCGGAGCCACTGATGGTCAACATGATCCCTGCGTCTCCAAATGACGCCAGAAGCTGATAAGCACGTTGCATTTGTTCTTTCAAGAGGACTACATGATCTTTCTTTAGAAGCTCTGAGAGCTTTGGTGCACCGAAAAGACGTGCGAGAGATTGTGGGAGTTCTCTTTCAAAACACGAGTCGTGTGCTTGAAAAAAATTCACCAGCATTTGGCCAATTTGGGTTATATCTGGTTCCACCTGAGGGAACTGGGACTCGTTCTGGAGAGCTTCAAGGGATTCTATGACATTTTCCAACTCCATGTACTGCTTACCATGTTTTGCGCAATCTTGCATTTGGTGTGCCATCGTTTCCAAAACGTGCTCCTCGTTAATGTTTTCAATCTGCCTGTTGTGCATGCATTGGGCTAAGAAAAGGGCAGCGAGCAAGTTTGAAGTGTTTCCAGTGCCAGCCGCGTTGCGCGACAGCCCTGTAACGCAACACCATCGATGTATAGCACGGAGCACCAATAGGAGATGAGGGTCGGACTTCACGTAGCTTGACAGCAAAGTGGCTACTGTTAAACTGCCTGGGGATGAACTAAAATCACAAGAAAGGGTTGGTGAGCAATTACTGCCATCTACCAGGTTCACTGTTGGCCGCTTGCATGAAAGGACCTAAACGAAAAATAAGAATCGAATTAAAGAATGCTGAGGAAAGCAAGGTGTAGAGTTTTGAATAGTGTGCTGAAATCCAAACAACCATGGTTACTTAAACAGGAGACAAATGTGAAAAACAGATCTTTTCTTATTTTTCTTTTGTTTTCATTTCCCCCTTTTAATCGATTTTTCATGAATGACGACTCATATTAGACTGCAACCAAACGCGATTTGGTCACCTCGGTTTTTCCGCGTTTCAAGCAAATTGTTTGTTTTCACTTCAACTTCTCATGGACTCCTGCTGACTTTTTCCTTACTGTTAACGGCTGTTGTAATTGCTTTGGTTTTGGGTTTACGAAGGGCTCTAAAATTGGTCCTTTATTCTTACAAGGTACAGCGAAAATAAAAGATAAGTCGTGATTAGGTGGCCAACTTTTTAAATAAGAGAAAAGTCTTACTTACGGGGAAATGCTCTTTGTTGACAAGACGAACTTTCCAGAAGAGATTCTTAACGTTTTCGTCTTCTTGTTCTTGTTGCTCTGACGTCTCCTCTTTCAAGAGAGGAATCAGGGACTTCAATACTTTCGCTTGTTCCTCAATCGAAGTGTTATTTCCTTCTGGTGGCACCACAGCGAGAGCAAGTAGGTTTCGTGCCTGGGTACCCCGAGTTAAAAAGCACAAATCCAGATTCGAAGTCTTGTGAAATAGCAGTGTAGCCGTAGAGCCAATGATAGTCAACAAAAAAGTGGAATCAGCAGCCTGGAGATGGCGATATATAACGTTCTTTGTTCTTATTCGAGCTCTGAACTCCTCAAGCAGCCAGGCCTTCTCTTCGTGAAACAATCGAACAAGGCTCTGACCCACGGTTGCGCAAACGTCTAAGGCCTGGGGCTGACTAGGTCGATCTTTCTGCGTTTTGACGGCGAGCATGACGTCATTAATAAACCAAGGAAAACCGAGTAGTCTCTTCTGAGGACTTGGGTCTGAATCATAAGCGTGATCATGCGCATGCGTGTAAGCCACTCTGTACCAAGCCGAGGCTTTCAAACGCATCTCATCCGAAATCCGCACATCGTCTTTTAACCACTGTCCATCGCTGACGAATTCACGAAAGAATTCACGACGGAGGTACGAGCGTATCGTGAACAGCTCTTCGCTGACGAGTTCGGCAATATCCGTTTTTTCTTTCCGCAAGCGATTTCGAAGCTTCATGAAACAGCCAGTGATGATTTCTGCCTCGGTTTCGATGCCGTACACCCACATTAAACTCTCCATCTTGTCACGATACCAAGAATAGATTTCTTTGGCGTTTTCAACGAAGCTATCGTTTCCTGGCAACAGGAAGGACTCGTCCAAACGGACTTTTTGATCGTATTTTTCAGATGTAGTATCTTTAAACTTGCGACAGCGTCGATAGAGCTTTCCTAGAACCTTTTCAGAGGGATAACTTGGCTTTTCGCTGTTCATCATGAAATCAGGAAGCTTTTTTATATTCCCAATACCCATAGTATCAGACCATTTTCCCGGTTTAGGTGCGTCAACTGCCAAAGAGTGCAGTTCTGCAAGAAAAAGACAGATCTCGGATTGCACGCCGTCTTTCTCGGTATCCGCCAAAGCCTTATGCGCGTTTTCAATCACGCCTAACTGGTCAGACCGGATGTAATCCACCACAAACTTGGTCATGTCGCGAGTAGTGATTGGCTCAGTTTGCTCCAGTTTAGGAAGTGACGGATAGTACATTGGCGAGTAATTTGGTTTCCTTGGTAACAGGTCTTTACTCCAACAGACGAAGTATAGGTCACCGTCCAAATCACCGCCTGAAATCAGAATAAACATTTAGAAGTTCGTTCAAATTTTCAAAATCTAATCTGTTAATGACTACATTGATACATTTCGCACGGATTCTAATGAAAAAACCGCGTTTGGTTCGCTGATGTTGTAGAGACTGTAGTGCGCCGAACTGCCGTGCGGGAAGCCGAGGGTTAAAGCCCCAGATGGGATCAACACTTAGGGTATTAAAAATAACTGAGGACAACGTGCTGCCTCTACTATGACATCGCAAATGATTAGACATTCTAGTCTTTCCGAATAATGACGATAAACCGTGGACCTAGTCTCCCTGCACTTCTCACAAAGATTAGGGAACGTAGCCCCTAGAGTTGTGGTCTGGCCATGTTATATTTTAATACAGGCCCTCGTTTAAACCAGCTTGTAAGAGCCACTGACCATAGCTATCAAGAATCCGCCGACAGTTGCAAAATTTCGTAATTCATTTTATTTTTTCTAAAAGACCCCTTTAATGAACCTTTTCCGAAAATTATATCAAAAAGTTCTCTTGAGCTTTTTTTCTCCGTAAAATCGAAAAGATCAAAATACGCCTAAATGGCCGTTGTCCTCCCCGTAAAGCAATGAAAAAATTATGCAACTTGAAAATACTTCGGGCTAAAATGACAAAAACTGTAGCGCAATCCGTTGAACGGCTGTCACACAAGAGGTCAAGGCCAATCTTTCAGCTTGGCCAGAAATGTACCAAATACATTACCTCTCGCGTGACCACCGTTTAACTGATCGCACCACATTTTTTGTCATTTGAGCCCGAATTCTTTTCAAGCTGGACGCCTCGCCTATGGCGGGCCAAGAAAGGAAACTTTGAGGAATTAAACTACAAGGAAAAAGCTCAAGGGGATATGTATTTTGATTTGTAAATATATCATACAAGACCTTTTTCTAGGCCTATAAATGGGTCGTGACAGCTTTTTAGCGGTTCGCACTGCATTTTTGACAAAATAGCCCACACTCTTTTAAAGCTGGACGTTGCCACTTATGGCGGGTCAAGATAGAGAACTGGAGAAATTAAAATACAAGGATAAAGCTTTAAGATGATGTATATTAGGATTTTTGAGTATACATGGCAGACCTCTTCGTCGGCTCATGAAGTTGACCCTTATTTTACCTCCGCGAAAAAGACGCGAAGTACTTTATTTCAACGGGTCACTATTCAGACTTCAGCGAAACAGCATAACAAGAAATTAATATTTTCCAAGAGATAAAAGGACCATCTGCTAGCACACAAAATTTAAAAGTGGGATTGCATCGCTTTGTAGCGTACGAAGTTGCCCAAATTGCATATTTTTTCATTGCTTTACGGGGGGAAAAACGGCCATTTAGGTGTATTTTAAACCTTTCAATTTTTCGGAGAAAAAAAAGCGCGGTAGAACTTTTTGATATAATTTTCGAAAAAGGTTCATTAAAATGGTCCTTTAAAAAAAATAAAATGAATTACGAAATTTTGCAACAGTCGGCGGATTCTCGATATTTACGGTCAGTGGCTCTTAAGCTGAACTGGGCCAGCCTGTCTAAATATATAAATAAATATAACTCAGTTACATTACCCCACTAGGTACTTTCATGAGGTACTTAAATGATTCATTCTAGTAAAACTTAAGTGCCGTGTAAGTGTTTAAGATTGGAAGAGAAAGTTATTCAAACAGTCGCAATGGGCATATTACCTGCCATCTCGTTAGGATGTGGCCGCGACCCTCGACTTGGGAAAACGACGCAGTCCACAAGATGACCGAGAAATGGTACGTCAATAGCCTCGAGCTGACGTACATCTCCCGGATGTAAACATGGATTACGAGTAACCACCACCGGTCCCCTAAGCACAATTTTTTTGTTCATGTTAAACTCGTCATCCCGATCCTCACGTGTTTCAACCGCGGAATACTGTACGAAAACCTGACGCGATAAAATAGGATGAACAAGTTATCAAGACGACTCCAAAGGCACACACCTGCTATGCGGTGAACGGTTTGAACCCGGGGGTAACATGTGAAAGTGTAGTATGATCGTCCGGGTGAGTGTAGTCCTGACAAGGACTGTTGTCGGTGGTAGTGACTGACGTTTCGACAACCTGTGCGGAGGTCAACATCAGAGGCACTTGACTCTGACGATTGATACTACACTTTCACATATCCTGTTATCATCATTATCTTTCCAAAAGTGGTCTAATGTGTGGTTGCGAATAGGATATGAGGCTCATTGTAATCTGCGCGGCTAGCGTCTCAAGAGGCGTGGTGAGAGCGGAACTTAAAGTTTGCCCAGCCTATGTGATGCTCTTCTGAAGGACATATGGTAATTCTGTAAAGGTAAAATGTTATGGGAGTCCAACAATGGTTAAGTGTAAACGCGTTAATTAGTGTTGGGTTGGGAAGGGGGGTAGGTACACGGCTCTCAGATACTGACATGGACCATCACCATACTATAGACCTTCCAGACAGTGTAGCCCTGAAGGGATTCAGCTGTTCAGAAATTGGTCAAAATATTCGCGAGTAGTTCGATCGCAAAAAGTGATTTTTTTTAACTGGGTATATCTTTGAAAATCTCGTATGTGAACTGCGGTTAAAGAAATGAGTATGAGAGCGATCTTCGCAGTAACGAACACTACTTAAGAGGCTGTCTCTCTTATTTCCACACGGTCAATTTCGCGTCAAAAATAATTTTGCCTGAAACTCTGTCAACAGAAAGACTTTACTTAGGAAAGAACTAAATTAGATTTGGTGTGTTTCGAAAGAATTTTCTGACTGCGTTAGGGGTCATAATTGTTTCCCAGTCTGTTGGGACCGTCGCAACGTCTCGAAAATTGAAAAATAGGCATATTTTGTAACATTGTAAAATATTTGATTCGCATAGTTAAGCCACCGAATTTGTATCAGATTGCTTAAAAACCTTTCTAGTTTGCCAAGAAAGTTAGAATTTCGGNAAATCGCGAATGCTCGTACATGTGCTGATTCAAACGGTCATAACTTTTGAAAAATCGAAAACGTACCGGGGTTTTTGCATTTTTTTTGCCTATAAAGGTCTAAACTTAACGGCTCTGTAGGATAGAGTTGTCAACCAGGTCCCAAATCCCAAAACTTAACGTCTAAACCAAGGTTATTTACGGCCATCGGCCGATGGCCGTAATATAGGGGTCAGAATATGCTAAATATCGCCTTTTCAGATATATTGAGAGGGCAAATTCTAATTTTCTTGGCAAACTAGAAAGGTTTTTAAGCAATCTGATACAAATTCGGTGGCTTAACTATGCGAATCAAATATTTTACAATGTTACAAAATATGCCTATTTTTCAATTTTCGAGACGTTGCCACGGTCCCTATGGACTGGGAAATAACTGTGGCCCCTAACACAGTCAGAAAATTATTTCGAACCAAACCAAACCTAATTTAGTTCTTTTCTAAGTAAAGTCTTTCTGTTGACAGAGTTTCAGGCAAAATTATTTTTGACGCGAAATTGACCGTGTGGAAATAAGAGAGACAGCCTCTTAAGCAGTCGTGAAAATAAGGCCTGAAAAACTTTTTGGGCCTGTACGGGATTCTGCGGCGAAGGGGATAAATTTACACTAATTTCAAAAATCAGTTTTCAACAGCCAGTTGTTGAGAATAGCTGTTATTGTTGCATTGCATTAAGGCAGACTCTCGATACCAGGCTTAGGTTTACGGTAAGCAGTAGAACTTTGAAAAAAGAAATAATAAAAAATAACTCACTTGGCCAGGTTTCAATACACCTAACTCGTCCATCACACCCATCATTAAGCGTGCTTCTGCTGATGGCAAAAGAATGCGGGCTTGGGAAAGCAGTTCGTACAAGTGATTTCGGTACATGGCCACCAAAAGTGATTTAAAGAATGGCTCTGTTGTCAGCGGTATCCCTGCATTGGAAACATTGTGATAAGAGACGCCCATTTTGGCTCCACTCCTCAGTAGCTGAATAGCATTACGTTCATTCACAAGCATCCCTTTAAACAAAAAAAGGTGTAACATGAGATATTACGTAAGCAGACTGGATTGAAGGAAGGGAAGGCCTAGAGACTAACTCACCATCTTACCTGCCATTTTGTCTAACATGTCATTTTGCAATTTGATAAAGACTTCATCCGGGACTCCGAGGTTAGACAGAAGCATGATCACCTGATGATTGAGGAAAACGACCTGGGGACGAGACGTCTGCAATACTTCCAGTGTACGGTGAAAGCTATCAAACGTGAACATGCTCTCACGAAAGATGGCCCGTTTCCCTGGAAGTCTGGGATCTAGCGCAAGGACTCCTTTGTAGCCAGCGAAACAGACTTGAAATGCGGATGGTTTGAATGGTTTACCAATTTTTCGGACAACCTGCAAGAGAGTGTGGTTTTCTTAAGTCTAATGCAACAAGAGAAGCTCTTTGAATTTCTATATTAAAGTTAAGTGTAATACAGCGCTTTTGAAGGACTGACTGTGATAAAGCTAAAATCAGCACAAGGTGCAAATAGGAGTTAGAATTAAGTATAAGCAGATGTCATTAAATAGGAACGAAAAATAACATTTAAAGGGGGAGAGGTGGCAAACGACGATTATTGTGCGCCTCACGCAAGGTGGCTTGCACCGCTGCACAACCATGTATTTCAGTTAGCTCGTATTCGGAGGAAAATGTCTCCTTTTTTTTCGAAATAAAATGAACATTTAATGTACCTCTGCGGCCAACTTTTCAGATATTTTTCCGACTCCGGCGGAGAAGCAGTATTTTCGGTCAGCTGTCTCAACATCATTTTCTTTGTCAAAATAAGTATCGTCACTGGTTGCAAACCCCACAGCGTCTAAAGAGTTGGAAAAACACTGACCCATACGTGCCATGTATGAGGCAACACACCTATTGGAAAGCAAATATCATAAGTTTAAATATAAAGGAGGTCAATTGGATTAGAAGAAAATATCACATGAAGTGAATGAGAAATAGGAAATAGAGAACAAGTAAACTGCGTCGAATGGAGATGCATGCGAGTAACAGCCACAGCCACATCCAAGTTGAATTTTCCGTTTCAGTGGTGTCCTTGACCAATCACCGAGTAGAGCGAAACAAAATTGTAACAGTCTCAGTGTACTTTGTGTCCGTATCATCTTAAGCTTTACAGTTTTCTCAAATAAAAGGCATATTACCATTTACTAATGGTGCATCTCACAAGCAAAACAACACAACAGCGCATGTCTTTCTTCAAGACTAATTGTGAGAGCCCTCATTCCCTCTGATCGCGTGCCCGTAACAAAGTTGCTAACATTTGTTAATCTCCTAATCTTTTCATTTGCTTTGCGTTCCTTTTCATCTCTGATAAATAGCTAGGCTGATTAAAAGAGCCATATCGTTTTACTGCAGAAAGATTCCTTTCTCTTTTTTTCCAGTTTTGACTTTAAACTTTAACTTGTTTGAAACTAAAAAACGGAATAGTGCTCACTCACTTGATATTAGTGAAGTCTCCCATCCAGCGACGTATGTCATCCGGTAGAGAACTGGGCCCCACAAACCAACAGCTATGGTTACGAAGCTGATTGTTCGAGGAACCTATAAATTGAAACCGCTGACCAGCAATCACTAGTCCTTCATCTAATTTACGATTTACTCCGTCTAATATGTCATCGATGTTCCCTCTTGCTGCGGACATCTTTGACAGGTCTTCGTCACGAATACTGACACAAAGGAAGTCGTTTGTAACATATTTTCTGAGCACGCGATTCGTGACCATGACTTCTGGTGGGTAAAACAGCAGCCTCGTTGGGGTAATGACCGCGCGCTTTACCAAAGCACAATGGCCTGGGACCAGCCTGTTGAACATTTCGGATGTAGACAGATTGTTTTGTTTCAGTAGCGACTCCAGAGTGCTGCCTGGGTCACAGAACTTGTCTTTTTCTAGCACTTTACTCAATTTTTCCAAAGCGGCAATAGCTATATTGGGAGACTTCCTCAGCAAAAGTCTACCAAACTTTCCTGGTAGCACTCTTCCGCGAATCAAAGGATGAAAACTGAGGACACTTCCAGCGGCATATTTGACTTCAAATGGCAAACTATCGGGAATGTCAACATCTGGTAATTTCCCATAGCTCTCCTTCACTCGGCAGTAAAATGCACTTTTGTGGAATCTTTTCTCGACTGTGGTCAAAAAGCGTCTCAACTGGACAACTTCATGAAATGGCATTGTGACACAATAGGTAAAGCACTGGCTTACGGCGTTCTCACCATTGTGGAAATCTGACGCCCTTTCCCAGCTTCTATAGTCTGTGAGATTACGTAAGAGATCTACGGAAGCGTCTCTGAAATCGGCGGTTATTTCATCCGCGTATTCTTCGTCGGTCGAGAAGCCCTCAGTTTCCGATTCATCGTCACTTGTCGAGGTGACTGAAGCATCTTCATCGTCTTGTTCATCTATTTGAACGAGGTCGAAGAAATCTTCCATTACCGGTACCTCCTGCTTATACAGCCGTGGAGGGTGTCTCGCCGTCAGGAAAACGTCAATGGCTTCTGCACTACTATCAGTATCCACGATTATGAAATCCTCAATCTCGTCGTAGCGAAGGTCTATCTTATAAGAAACTCTAACAACAGCATCTTGATCAGGAACGACAGGAGATTGCCTGGAGACATGCAAGGTCAGCATCTTGAAGCTGTGGTCAAAATGCATCTTAATGTCCTTTAGTGTAGGCTTTAGAGGCCACTCACAATGAAAATGGCATCGACTTATAAAAGTACCGAGGCATAAAGAACTTGCTTTAAACCAATGAAACGGTTTGTTAGATTTCCCGTGTGTCTCTAATGGTGGAACCTGGAGCCAAACCGGAAGGGGTTCCTCGTCACTGTTGGTGAGGCGCATGCACCACACTTCTATTACGTGACAAGCAAACTCTTCCTTTGAGCGAAACTCCTTGGCTTCTTCATTATAGCTTGGTTCGAGTTCAAAGGCCATATCGTCTGATACGGGTTTCTTTATAAGTGCTTCACCGAGCGATGAAGTGGACTGAATTGGCTTTGAAGATACCACGCGAAAATTGTGGTTCAGAAAATCTATCACACGGGATGTTTCACCGACCATATTGTGCACCATGACAGATATGCGAGTGCTGCAGCGCATGACTGGAGAAGTATCCACACCACTTTCCACTGCGCCAGGGATAACAAGCTCAATAGGTTTTTTCACTTCGCATCCGAATTTCTGTGCTTGTGATTGCCGCTTCGGGTTACTCATCAAATATTTGATGGCTTTTCCCCTGTTCTCTTCCTTGAGAAACAGATCTTTGGCATCTTTATCTTCTTTTTCATTGCAGATAACGACAAACTTGCTGTTGGATCTACGGAACACGCGCCCGTGGGTCTGAGTTAGCGCCTGCAGAGTTGTCGCATCCTCAAAGCAAACGATCAGGTTGCATTTGGGGATGTCCAGTCCTTCCTCCAAAACACTCGTGCAAATCAGCAGCTTGGATTCTCCTTCTCTGAACTTTTTCAACAGCTTTTCCTGTTCATCTTTCCACGTCATTCCGTCATAGCTTCCTTGACCATGGCCGACAAAAGGGTAGGGATTTAACATTTTGGTCACATTCGGGATCTCTCGAATCTGCTCGCACAGTTTGAAGGTCGTTTTGCGTAAGCTCACAAAGATGATGCCTCTAGAAGTTGGATCTTCCCGAGCTTGGCGAAGAAACTGCTTTATGTGCTTCACAAGAATATTGTACTTGTCCGACATAACAACTACACGAGCTTGGTCAGCCCTACATGCCTGGTCTGCCAAATTTTTGAGGGCTTGAAAAGTACGTTGACCTCCAATTAACCTGTTCAGGGCACCATCTTTCGGCGATTTAGCGTAAACAATGCGGTACACACATTCTTTGAGACTTTCAACAGCATACTGGTAACCAAGAACCTCGCAAACTTCAACAACGCCGAGCAAGTGCATTGCATGCTCAGCAACGGTCAGCGCTTTAAAGGATTTCTTGTTACCATGGTAACTTTCGATCAGCTTTCTCCGCGCTCCTGTAATATTCGGCGAATTTACAAGAGACGCAAATTTTTGAGGATCTGGTACATCCAGGAAGTGCACTTCTATCAGATATTCGATGTGTTCTTCAATATGTTGCTGGAGGAGAACTTGATCAGTGTTCATGCAGTCAGATCCTTCATAAATCACGCCTTGGATATCAACATGATTCAACAAATCCGACTCTACGGGTATCGCTAATGCACTATCCAAGTTCTCAAGGAGCTTTTCGAGTTTCTCGCTGGTACTTTCGACAGTAAGCTCTCCAGCCAGTGAGGCTGTCAGACCGAGCACAACAGGTTTAAACTGCTCTGGTGTCTTTTTGTAGTGCTCCATGATCTTGTTGTACGGGTGGTTTCCGCTGCAGTGGTGCGCCTCATCAAACACCAGGACTGAAACATCAAACAGACGAATGGGTGCGTTGTTCTTCGCAGCTAAAAAATTAAGAAAAATCTGGTGTGTTAAAACCAGCACATCAACTTTGTTATTAGCTAATTTTTGACGAATACTGATATCTTGAGGCGACTCCATATCACCGACCAGCATCTCCACCGTTAAATCCGTCAGTTGTGACTTGATGTAATCACGTTGTTGGTGCGCTAACGGTACTCGGTCGACGAGGAATACCATAACTTTTCTTGGGTTCAACTTCTTCATACAACTCATCACCATGACTGCAATCAAGGTTTTTCCTGAGCCAGTGGGTAGATATACCAGCGTATTACCGCGCATGGCAGAAAGGAACAACTCCCTCTGATAGTCCCGCGGGACTTGACGAGTTAAAGAATCGATTTCGTGTGACGTGTGAGTCCACCCACATGTATCACAATAAACCATGGCTTGGCTATCTCCACGGGATTGGTATGCTCTTCCTGTTTCTGGCGGAAACGTCGTAACGTTGACAACTTCAATGCCACACTCTTCTTCCAACTCCTTAGTCACTTTTGACAGTTTGTTTGCCTTTATCTGTTTTCCACAGTGACAAATGTAGACACTCTTTATTCCAAAACAAATTAGCTGCTTCCCTGCGACTCTTGCTACGTTTGCAACACGTTCGTAACACTCTCGGCAATAAAAATTGAAAGGGCAAAAATGCGGATTTTTCTCGCCCCTATTTTTGACCTTTTGAAGTTTTCCTTCCACTTGTTCCTCCTTCCCCTCCCTGACGGCCAAGTGTGTTTCAGAGGGGGGTACTTTGGCCAAAATCAGAGTTTGTTTTGTAGCCAGTACTGTGTCGCATTTTTTGCAATGGAGAGTAACCCGTCCTACTCGATTCATGAAGGACCATCGCTGTGTTGCGTAAGCCCTAAAAGGACCTGCCAAGAAATAATAAATGTTAGCACTACGAAACTATGGAACTGTGGAACTGTAGAACTGTGGAACTGTGGAACTGTAGAACTGTGGAACTGTAGAACTGTGGAGCTGTAGAACTGTGGAACTGTGGAACAGCCCTCATCTACCCTAAGTTACACATGTTCTACAACGTTAGCCCCTATCCACCCTGACGAAGGGCTAACGCTCGAAACGTCAGCTTTTTAACTCTTTACGGTGGACAATTTACAATTTCAACTTAGTTCATATTCCCAAATTACCTTTATATCCCCACCGACGCAGCACCACAGTTTCTTTAGAAAATTACCCCCTTTATTCAAGTTAATATCAGTCTACCCTTAGTTAGCCATATTATCCCAAGTTAACCAACGTTTACCCCAAGTAAATCAGGTTCTATCACGTCAACCCCCGTCTACCCCAAGTTAGTCATGTTCTACCACGTTTTTCCATATCTACCCTGAGTTAACCACGTTAAAACCCGTCTACCCTAAGTTAGCCATATTCTTCCACGTTAAACCAGATCTACCCAGAGGAAACCATGTTCTTCCACGCTAACCCCCTACTTCCCTAGTTTGCCACGCTCTTCCACTTTAACCCCAATCTACCCTAAGTTGTCCATGTTTTACCACACTAACCCCCATCTAGTCTATGTTAAGCATGTTCAACCACGTTAGACCCCATCCACCTAAATCCTTAAATCAATATCTTAGTACATACACAGAAGTAATAAAGGCGGGAGTATTTCTTTACAATTCTTTCATTGGCAGCAATAACTGATTATAAAATTTTGGTATTTTTTACGCTAATTCTTTCAAAGACAGGTTTTCGGTAAGGTTGCTGGGTAACCAAATGTCAAAAAAATAGTTAATACATATTTAGAGTTGTGTTCAAGAAACGTTACGACATTGTGGATGCTACGATCAAGTTTTATTTTTATATCCACACCTCTGGTACTTTCATGTTCACTGTCGTGATTTGGCTTCGTTGATGGCCGCTCCATAGCTAAAAGAAAAAACCAAACAAAACTCATAATCTTAGTTTCCCCACCAGTAATCACCGATAATATAACTTTCATTCACACCTTTTTTCCAATGACAGAGGTTCACCAATTAAATGGCTCTAAGATTTTAGTGCTGCCTGCTATCTTGTTAGAGTTAAATTACAGTTTTTTCCTAACCCATTTCCTGTCCTGAGAGTGTTAGAAGAGGAAATTCTTGGGATTTAAATATGTCGGCATGAACTAGTGAAGTGGTTATTCCCAGCCTTAATTTGGTGAAAACTGAGAACGGAAGATAAAGTAAAGGTTCACAATAATTAAGGGTCATACGCTATGTATTCTGATTACAGCAGTTGGACTCAATCAGTCAATAACCCAAAACATACATGTATGTATGCCTGCGAACACTAACTCTATTCTTATAATAATTATTATTGCATATAATAGTACAACATTATATAAACTTATCAAATAATGAAATAATGCTTCACCAGAGTCACATGAGCTAGATCATATAATTCTGGCTTGACTGACCACTATTTCTCTAGGTAATAAAATTTCAAGAACACTTTCTTTCTTAAACTCTCCGAAATGGATACCATAGATGTATAAAAATAACAATCATACTGCAATGTCATGGGAAACTTTAAAAAAAAATGGTTAAAAAATAACCCACCCTTTGCAATCCAGTTCTTTCTTTACCCTACCCCATAACACTGTTGATTGACTAACAAATTTCTAGTCAAATTGTTAGGCACAGGGAACAATAGCAAGGACGTAAAATGAAGGATAGCTAGTGGAAGCTCTCTAAAACGACGCTCAACAGCTTGACAGGTAGCTCACATCAAAACAACCTTTGCAAACCCCATTTGACCGTCAATACAAACTCTGTATTCACACGATACCCTAGCTAAGCAGCTGCAGATTTAAATACCTTTTGTTTAAAAACTTCAGTAACGATTTTGTAACACTTTTGAAAACAAACATGAATGGTAAAATACGAAGACGCTTTCCGTTTTATAACAATTTGCAGGCCGGGATCCATACTTGTTAATTTTATCGCTGTCGACACGGCTGATTTCTGCTGCGAGATTTAGGTAGGCCTTTCTGTTGTGACACTTGCAAAACGCAAACCTAAATCAGTAAATAAAGGATTTTCAAGGATGTTCTTTGTTGCTCTTTATGCAGAAACAGAGTTCACTTTTTTTCAATTATGGCAGCGAAACACTTTGCAGAGGGATAAATACATTTGTCCAGCGACATTAGAAATCTTTTAATCGCAATTCACGCTTATGGTTCATAAATCTTTAATTTTGCTGATCGTGTTGCTAAAAACGGGTTGACTTCATCTGCTCAAAGTATACTGTGGGTACATTGTACTATATTTTCAGTTGTTCTGGGGTGGTTTCACCCCTCTCTCAGATTAGCGTGGTTTCGTGTTTTCGGTAATTCGGTTTCAGTGACAGAGGATAATTTATTCACTACTTTAAAACCAAACGTGAAACGAGAGAAGTGGGATTTTTTTCCACTTGTTTGGAAGTCAGGGGAAGTTCGTAAAGCAAACTTTCCTCAAAAGAGACGGGAAGAATGGTGGCTACAGAATCTTTCCCATACTGAAATAACTACCTGACGCAGATGAAGGGGTTGATAACTTGAAACTACTTTCCATGACGAATCCTTCATTTAAAGTGACAGCATGCAAACTTAGTGGAGGCATTAGCATGATTTTTATCAAAGCTTGGAACTTTGAACCACAACTAGCCAGCACCGTTGAAAAAATTATCGAATTCGTTACAAATATTGGTCACTTGGCAGAACGTTTCTCTTCTTTCCAAGATCGTAATACTCAAAACCCCGCATATCTTGAACTTCGGACAGC